AGAGAGAGAGAGAGAGAGAGAGAGAGAGAGAGAGAGAGAGAGAGAGAGAGAGAGAGAGAGGGGTATGGTACAGGCTTCGCAGGGGCACAGGCAGACATGACCCTTGCACAAAGACCCTGTTAAGGCCCACCCAGGCATGGAACAGGCCCCGAACAGGCCTGCTACAAGCCTGGCCCAGGCATTGCACAGACACAAATCAGGCAGATGTATGGCACAAGCACGGCACATGTACTGCAGATTGAGAAATCCAACCTAATCATTGAAGAGGCATAAGCTGCAATGACTGAAGTAGAGCTCAGACTGTGCACTGAGTTACAGGGCTGAGGGAGGATCGAACGCTTACTCAGTTCCACTTCTTCCCCCTCAACACAGACAGAAGCAGGTACACCTTTCCGTCCCACTCGTGCACCTGGAGGCACTGGATGTCCCTCTTGAAGACTCAAAGTTCTGGGAACAGAACCCTCAGTGAGCATCAGACGTAACTGGTGCAAGGCCACGAAAACCTGCAAGCAAGAAACGTTTTCCATGTCCACATAAGCACCGACTCAGGAGACCTATTCCTCACAAAACCACTTGTCCCAAAGAGAGAACATAAGCCATATTGCTGAAAAAAGAGTACCTTGTACCCTTTGTCCCTTCAAATTTCTAGCTCTCTCTCTCTCTCTTCCCCGCCCTCTCCAACCCTTCCCATAGAGATGACAACTATGGCTAAAGAGGGGATAGACTGTTGCCTGTCTTCTCTCTCTCTCTCTCTCTTCCCCACCCTCTCCAACCCTTCCCCTGGAGATGACTAATATGGCTGAATAGGGGATAGACTCTTCTCAATAGGCTGAATATCTCTTTTCCTCTCTCTCTCTCTCTCTCTCTCTCTCTCTCTCTTTGACACACACACACACACACCCTTCCCCCCTCCCCCCCCCTCCAACCGTTCCCAACCCTCATAAAATCCTTAGCAGCCAAGAAAACCAGAACAACCTTGGTTCAAATTTGAATCGTAAATTTGAAGCTGACTCGTGATAACTGACCCCAGTGCAGATGGAAATAAAGGAGAAGTTGGACAACCAATGTGTGTATTTTAGCTGCATATGCAGGCTGAAAGTTTTTCTCCCACAGATGGTATATTGTATATACTAAGGTTACCAAGCTGGGGCTGCTCAGGCCACCAAGGCAGCCCAGCAGGTTGGGTCCTGGACAGCCTCAAAAAAAAATCTGGATTTCATCTGTCCCACCCCAGGTACTTCAGAATTATTCCGTTCATCAGATTTCATCTGGATTCAAACTTGCCTCTGTATGTATTTCATATTTCAACAGTTCATTGGTCAGCTGGTACAAACAACTTCTGTCGGAGGGTCGCTTCAGAAACAAGCAATGGTACTACACCCCTCTGGAGTCTACAGACTCTAATCTAAACCCTTTTGAAGTTTGAACATCTTTAAAGTTTAGACTTTAAACCGCTAGTACACGGCCCCAGCATTGTGGAGATTTGCTTGTCACCTACTCTGAAAAATATGGTATTCGCTTGTGGTATCTCCAATTATTCTGTGAGTGTATTTCATCTGATGAGCCATGCTCTTTTTAAAGCATTACTTTTTTTGAGTGTGCCACATTGGATAGAAGAGGGCCGAAGGGCCGACCACTGTGGTCGTCTTTGGAAAAAGCGACCGACCGTATAAGAGGCCGCTTTATCTTATACAGGTGCCTTCGCACTAGAGTCAAGAATCTATCATCTTGAATCTTCATATGCAGAAGACTCATAGCCAAAATTTTGACTGGTTATGAAATGATTCAAGTACGCAAATGATTGGAGAATCATGTATAAATGATATGATTACACGCTGCGCACCAAATTGCAAACAAACCGTGCAAGCAGCCCCTAAAAAAATCTTAATTCGGGATTTTATATTTCATTATTTTTCAGAGTCGGCGGGGCGCAGATGCAGACGCTCTGGACCTGACATCCGACCCAGACTGTCCGCACTGCACTCTGGACGTCCGTATCGTAGCCATGGTTTAAACCACAATGGCACTGGTAGAAAAAGAACAGCTATGTTGAAATATTCAAATATTACAATCTAGCAGTCAAGAGATCAAATCACAAGCTTAACCACTGTGAACACCAACATACTCCATGGATTAAGAGAGTGACTGGATCAAGGGACCTAGCTCAGTTTGTACACCCAAGAGCTGCTGAAACTCTAAATACAGACCCGAGTTTTTTATCCCCATGAGATCGACAGATGAATAGAATGAAATAGTTCCGCACGACTAGGGGCCAGTCAGTTAAAAGATGATATCTCCATCCTCTTCTGGGAGAAAAGGGAAGAAAACAAAACAAGACGAACGGAAAAAGCTGGAAAAACAAAAAGCTGGAAAAACAATCCTCGTTGAGTCAGCGTTGACCTATCGAAGACGGCCTGCCTCGCCCCGATGGTACACCCTCGAACTGTTGAAACTTGAAATACAGAGCTCATTTCAAATCCCCACCAGAACTAAGAAGAATAAGAAAAGGACACCGATGTGACCGACGACGGGGGCAGTAAGTTTGAAGATGATATCTCACGGCTTCATCGTTTTGTGGAAAAAAATAATTAAAAAGAAATGAAACAAATAAAAATTTTTAAAAGAGTAAAAAAGACAAAAAAAAGAAGACTGTAAAAAGCTGAAAAAACAATCCAAGATGGTCTATCAATGAAGGCAAAAGATGCACGTACTTAAAAGAAAAAAGGAGAAAAAACACGCACCTTTGCTGCAAACCGCATCCGTTCTCCTATTACAAACGAGCTCTGGTCCCCTGTAAAGTGACCAGGCAAACAGTTCAGAAGGAAAACACAAAAAACAAAGAGAATCTTGTCAGCAATGACTTCAGTGCTGGGCTGTTTGTCCGGGCGCCCAGGCACACAACTCGTACGCCTTTGCGCCTGGCCGGGCATATACCCCAGGCAGGGTTACCTGACAGGGGTCCAAGTACCGGACACAGGTGACTGAAGTGGGGTGGCGGGTGGTTGGCGGAGCGTTTTTGAAGTCGCCGTGTTTGAAAACCCCGCCCCCGGTTGCTGCCAGTTGGTGGAGCCGCCAGTGTCCATCCTGCATCAGCTGAAGTCCCGCCTGCCTGCAGCCATCCCCGAGAGCAGCTGCCGCCCGTCGACGAGGGAGCCGCCAGCCAGCAGGTCTCTCTCTCTCTCTTTCTCTCTCTCTCTCACATGCACGCGCGTGCGCACACTTGTGTAGGCTTACGAGTGGGTTGGGGTTTCGGGTTACAGAATGACGAGTTGGGGGTACGAGCAGGTTGGGGCTGCAGGTTACGGGATGACGAGGTGCAAGGAAGGGAGCCCCGCGGGGGGATGGGACGTGGGTTGGGGTGATGGGTTACTCCCTCTCTCTCCCTCCCTCTCTCTCTCTCTCTCTCTCTCTCACTCCCTCCCCCCTCGCTCTGTGAGCTTTGCAGAGCTATTTGTCCCACTTCATTCCCCTCACCCAAGAAATGGCAGAAAAAAACGTTCTGCAGTCAGGGCTCTCTTAAACGTATGAGGAGGACTACGGATTAGAAAGAACTTAAGATTGTTTACAAATCAGCCGCTGGAAAATCCAGGAACGTCAGAAATGCATTAAGAAACCCCCGAGGACGATCTAACCAGCCCACCTTGGAGGATACTTTGATGTTCTGGCTCCTTGCAGTAATTTGAATATAGAAGCATGACTTAGTGCCCTGCTACTCCGCACCCTATTTTGCACCCTATTTCGCGCCCACGAGTCCTTATGCAACGGAACAAGCCATCTGCAGCATGACAAACTACTTTGTCAATGCTGCAACCAATTCAATAGGTGCAGGAAGGGGAGGGGAGGGGAGGGGAGGGGAGGGGAGGGGAGTGGAGGTTTTTGCGATACCCAGGGACCAACCTTCTCTCCAGTCGGGAGCCTTAAACTTTGGCATGAGAACTGCAGCAGAGTCCCGTTGCATCATTGGCGTCTCGAGTTCTGTAGTAGACGACAGAACGAAACACTTCACATCAGCACCGGTTTTTTGTTTTCGAAACTTCTTTTTTATTGGCTTCCCACATTCTTTTCAGCAAGTGTCAGCAGTAACCGTAAACCAAGATATCAGTAAAATTGAGTAAATACAAGAAAAAAAACAGCTTAATAGTATTTAATTATGAATACTATTTTAGAGTAAGTTAATAGCAACTTAATACACAATATTTGAATATCCTCACTAAACTTTAAGCGGATAGCGGGTCTCGTGTAACGCTCCCGCGAGAACCCGCTTCCACTGTTGGGAAACGCGGCGGGACCGGTAGCGGCGGACCCGACGAGCAGTCGCGGCCGTTGGGATTGGCGGCGGACGGCCTGATTCCCGAATCCGTCCGTCCGACCCGCCTGCCCGCCAATCTCGGCGGCAGGACGGCCTGATACAACTTTCGGGAATCCGCGCCTGGCCGGTTCCCGAAAGTTCTATCCAGCCGTCCGACCCGCCTGCCCGCCAATCTCGACGGCACGGAGTGTTCGTTCAGGTCCTCTTAAAACGTCAACATGCCTCGCGCTTCGCCTCGCTCGGCTTCGACGTACGTTCGCTTCGACGTGCATGCTTCAGAGAGAGAGAGAGAGAGAGAGAGAGACGGTCAGGGAGAGTTTGAGAGGGAGAGGGAGAGACATCGAAGTCTCGACGACAAACAACGCGTAAAGGAGTGTGTGTGTGTGTGTGTGTGTATGTGTGTGTG